ATCATGACAGGCGATGGAGAAAAAAGCATGTAGCATATGAAGAGAGAAGGGACAGAAGATGATGAGAAGAGGTTCGGTCTCACACGTGTGGGGGTCCTCGGTTCGAGTTTCGTAGAGCCCATGTGAATGGAATGGAGAGAAGGGACTTCGTAACACACCACCAGCATGGGTTCAAGGATGGCAAGGTGTACATCACAGGTTTAATAGAATTCAATGACCAGGCGACACACATTATAAAAAAAAGAGAAGAGTGGGCAGATTGTATCTTCTTTCTTAGAAATCTTTTGACAAAATACCCATTAAGAGCCTAATGTATGAGTTGGAGAAACAGGCAGGTGTAACAGGCAAGGTCCTCCAATGGCTAAGAGAGCAGCAGAAAGCAAAGCGTTAATGTAAGGGGAGACCTCAGAATGGCGAGATGTCACTAGTGGAGTCCCACAGGGTCCATGTTCTTGGACCCATACTGTTTCTGATATACGTAAACAATCTTCCAGAAGACTCATTTATCTCAATGTTTGATGACAATGATAAAAATATGAGGATTAAGACAGAGGCGGACAGAAAGAGATTACAAGATGACCCGGGACATACTAAAAAAGTGATGTAACAAGTGTTTAACTCAAGCAAGTGTAAAGTAACGAAAATAGGATGTAGGGGGCGGGAGGCTGGACTCAAGGTTGCAACTGAGATATAAAATCCTCCAGGAATCAGAAAGCAAGAAAGGTTTGGGGGTTATTATACCGCACCTGTTCCTTGAAGACCACATTAAAAGGATATTATCAGTGGCATATGTGAAACCGAGATAAGAAGTGCTTCTAGAAACTTTTGTAAAGAATCATTCAGGACCTTGTATACCTCTTATGTTCAGACCAATTTTGGGATATGCAAGAATCCACAGAGTAGAATCCACATTTAGTCAAACACAAGACAAAGTTAGAAAAAGTTCAGAGGTATGATTCCTGACTAGTCTCTGTGCTGAGTGGTATGAACTATGAGGTAAGACTACAGGAAGACTATTACCTCACGTCACTGGAAGACATGAGAGTTGTGGGTGACATAATTACCACCAACAAAATTCTGCGAGTTATTGATAGGTTATATATAAACAAACTATTTATTACAGGGAGATACAAGAACAGGGGACACAGGTAAAAATTTAGTACCCAAATGATCCACAGTGACGTTAGAAATAATCGAGTGCAGGAGAGCAACCCGTTCTCGCAAATTTAATAAGTCAATATTGACTTATTAAATATGTGCATAGGTGACATTCTTAACATAATAGATACCCTTAAAAAGATTCATAGAAAACACCGACCTTACCTAACCTTGTTAGTATCTTAAGATAAGCATCTTATTGCTTCGTAATTACAATTATTACTTAACCTATACCTATTATAGGTTAGGTAATAATTGTAATTACGAAGCAATAAGATGCTTATCTTAAGATACTAACAAGGTTAGGTAAGGTCGGTGTTTCCTATGAATCTTTTTAGGGGTATCTATTATGTTTAGTATATCACCTATGCACGTAGTTGATAAGTCAATATTGACTTTACGAATTTGCGAGAACGGGTTGGGAGAGACCCGGGCTACGCCGGAAAGCCACTTCCCGTTAAGGTATAAGCATTGCGGGGAAACGAAGACAAGCGGTTATATCATTCGGAGGCTATTCACTTATTGCTAATTTATGATTTTGTTCAAATATATTGATCGTTATGTTAGGAAGAGTTAGGTTAGCTTGTGTATGGCTATATTAAGTTTGGTTAGGTTAAGTTACTTTGGGTATGATTGAAATAGGTTAGGATAGACTAAGTTAGATTAGACTAGTTAGCTTAGGTTTGCTAGGTTGGGTTATGTTTGGCTCGGTTAGTTTATGTTTGAGTAGGCTAGGTTGGGTAAGTTTATGTTTGGGTAGGCTAGGTTGGGTAAGTTTATGTTTGGGTAGGCTTGGTTGGGTTATTTTATGTTTGGCTAGACTATTTTGGGCTAATTTATGTTTCGTTAGGCAGGGTTTGGTTAGTTTATGTTTGGCTAGGCTAGGTTGGGTTAATTTATGTTTGGTTAGGCTTGACTGGGTTATTTTATGTTTGGCTATTCTTGGTTGGGTTTGTTTATGTTTGGCTAGGCTAGGTTGGGTTTGGTTAGTTTAGATTTGGCTTGGTTAGGTTGGATTGGGTTAGTTTAGGTTTGGCTAGGTTGGGTTAGTTTAAAGTTAGCTTAGGTTAATCCGGGTTATAGTAAAAACGTTTCTGATATTCAATGGCAAAATGTTTTTATGAGAAGGTAACGTGTAAGCAGTAAGTATTATCTTCTCTCACAGGTACACAAACGTTATTCCTCGCGATAACACTTTTGGCATAAAGGCAGATGACGGTTCCTGGACGGGCATGCTAGGAATGGTACAGAGAAGGGTAAGTCTAAGGTAAAAAATGGTACAGAGACAGGTAAGTCTAAGGTAAGGAAGGGTACAGAGAAGGTAAGTCTAACGTAAGGAAGGGTACAGAGACAGGTAAGTCTAATGTAAGGAATGGTACAGAGACAGGTAAGTCTAATGTAAGGAATGGTACAGAGACAGGTAAGTCTAAGGTAAGGAATGGTACAGAGACAGGTAAGTCTAAGGTAAGAAAGGGTACAGAGACAGGTAAGTCTAAGGTAAGGAAGGGTACAGAGAAGGTAAGTCTAACGTAAGGAAGGGTACAGAGACAGGTAAGTCTAATGTAAGGAATGGTACAGAGACAGGTAAGTCTAATGTAAGGAATGGTACAGAGACAGGTAAGTCTAATGTAAGGAATGGTACAGAGACAGGTAAGTCTAAGGTAAGAAAGGGTACAGAGACAGGTAAGTCTAAGGTAAGGAATGGTACAGTGACAGTTAAGTCTAAGGTAAGGAAGGGTACAGAGACAGGTAAGTCTAATGTAAGGAATGGTACAGAGACAGGTAAGTCTAAGGTAAGGAAGGTACAGAGACAGGTAAGTCTAATGTAAGGAATGGTACAGAGACAGGTAAGTCTAAGGTAAGGAAGGTACAGAGACAGGTAAGTCTAATGTAAGGAATGGTACAGAGACAGGTAAGTCTAAGGTAAGGAAGGTACATAGACAGGCACCAATAATACAAGGGCTGGGATCCTATTCAGCAACGACAGTTTGGCGACGGCTGTGTTTAGTGTCATAATACACAACACAACTTCAAATAATTCAAAACATCTGTCTCCAGCTACCGAGTCCTTCTGTAAGACCTGGTTTTCAACACTGATATGGTATCTCCTTTTATCCTTAACCGTTTCAACAACCGGCATAAATAAATAATTCATGAGAATATTAATACCAATTAATTTAGTCCAAGGACAAGCCGACATTCTATATATTAAGATTATATCGTGGTCTTCCCGCTCCACATACACAAGGTTGAATTACAGAAAGCCCTCCAGGATGCAACTCCTGGTGGGCTGCTCTGCAATCGCCTGCACTATAGAAAATAAGGTGGTTGGTACTCACGACACGACGAAGTCAATGACATCATTAAGGCCTTGCCTCTGCCCAGTCCAACAGAGAGAGTACAAACGCAATCTTTTGAACCGTAACTCTGTTAGCTTTGATGGCTGACCAGATGGAATCACACTGCACTCTTGGAAACATGGCAGGCAGTTGACATGGGACTATACTTGCGTATCCACCCTGGCAGCCACATACATCAACCTCTCTTTCGGCCAAGCAGGAGCTGCGGCGGCACACACAGAAAGAGACAAGTCAACCAAGTACAGAGAAATAGATCAACGATACAATTTCGTTCCAATAGGATCCGAGACCCCTTAGTCCATGGGGAAAGAGTGAAAGGAGGTTTCTAAAGGATCTTGGTTCCTGGTTTACTGAAACTACAAGATACCCGAGGAGCGGCAAGTTTTCTCTTCCAGCGCCTCAGTGTAGCGATCCAGAGGGTAAATACCCGCTGCATCCTCGGTTCCTGCCCGGCGTCGGAGGAGTTTGAAGGAACTCCATTAAGGAACATATAATCTCTTCCCACAACCAAACCATCGCCAGAGAAATCCTAGTAAACAACACAGAAATCATCGATAGATACAGCGATAGCAGGCGGCTTGACGTTTGCGAGGCACTACACATCAAGAAGTCAACACCAGCAATCAACAGCCAATTATTGCACAACTATATTCTACCCACCTCAAGACTCCGCTCCAATATAGAAGCATCAAGAAATATGGACCAATAGGCTTTCTACAAACACTTCTATTCAATACCCATTGTTTGTGTTCTGTCTTGTGTTGATACTTTTAATACCCTATTAATATCCCCTCTTGTTCTGTCTTGTGTTAATGCCACATCACCCCTCCCACCTCACTCAAATGTAGATATAAAATCGGAGATACGTAAGTTCTAATCAGTTGTGTATTTGTGAACTAAAGTCTTTGAAAATGTAATAAGTTTTACGAAACGCGCCCGTGTCGCGTCAGACTAGAAATAAAAATGAATTTTGGAGAATTGATTTTTGATTTACCTCCAACAGTGAAGCGTAATGTACGAAAGATTGAGAAAATTCGTGTTAGAATTATAAATCTTACTTTTTCGGTCATATTTAATAATATATGTCTACAGGAAAGACTGCTACCAAAATATACTAATATATATATATATATATATATATATATATATATATATATATATATATATATATATATATATATATATATATATATATATATTTTAGAGAGAGAGGGAGAGGCCTAGGGGACGGACGTGTGGCGGAGGAGCTGCTGCCTTCTCAGCCATTACCCTGAGACATCTTGGTCTCACCGTACCAAGACTCAACCATATTCACCGGGAATACAACAAGCAGACGTGGGAGTGGCCGGAAGTGCCTACGGTGTACTATCTATGTGAAAACTTATCAAAACAGGTGGGTTGGCAGTGTGGAGTCATGGAGGCTGTAGTGAGGGGCCAGGATGGACCCTGCAGGCCTCCCATAGTGTGGGGAGGTGGGGGTGAGTGAGGGGTGTTGTGTGGTCAGGAGAGAGAGGTGGGGGTTACGCGTGTGCCAAATAGTGTTTTGTGTTTTTCTTTTTTGAAAGTTTTGTTGAACAAGTTACGTTGTCAGCGATAATTGGCGCAACATATCTATCATATTGTTAGTACATCACACGTGCAGTGAGTCAGATTACAAGTGTGTGATTCATTCATCATTGTGCAGTGATATACGGGGGAATTATACCAGTGTTAGTGTCGCCCTGACCCCCGCCCCCTCCCAGCGCCCAGGCCGGGAAGTAACTGCTCTCCCCCTCCTACCCCACCCCTCCACGTCGCCTCCCCACCCACGAGGCCACCTTGCCACCCGCCCATAGAAGCCGGGAGGCTCCCATGTGTGCCTACGCCACCCACCCACCCAATGTATACCCACATATTGTGTAGTGGGTGTATACCCACACTTTGTATAGAGGTGGTATATGTATTACCACTCATCTGAGTAGTAAGTGCCACGGCCAGCTGATCACCCCCCCAGCCTCCAACCGCCGCCCAACCTCCAGTCTCCACCCGCCGTCCACCTTCCCGCCCAGCGCCCGCCCAGCGCCCGCCCATGTCGCAGCTCTCAACAGATAGCCAGGCTTCTCCAAGCCAAGATGAGCCATCAAGCAGGGGTAGACAAAGTAGATGTCAGACGTGTGACCGAGTATGCTATATCCGGTTGAGTGATGATAATGTGCGCCTTCATTACCACAACAGAGCCAGGTGTTTGGGTTCTGGGCGCCCTCCCAGGGAGAACACCAATCAACAGCCCACACCGCCCGTAAGGCAAAACACCTCCCAGACCTTCTTTCCCACAGAAAATTTATTAGAAGCTATCAAAGCAACATCGGCCAGAACCTTGCAACACATCCCTAAAGCAGCCCGCCCCCATGCAGCAGCCAAATTATCTGCCCTCCTGAGAAAGGTCAACGACTCTCCTGGAACGACCCAAGCATGGCACAACCTCCTAATGTTTGGCAACATATGTCTAGCCACCCCTGCAAGGAGAGACAAAACCTTAGCTGCCTCAGTCATCAAAGCTATAAATGATTTTCCCAGGGAGGACAACCAGGTGCGCCTTCCCACTCGCGCGAGAAACACCCACGGCAGGAAGAGCAACAGTGGCATATCCGAGACATCAAAAATCAGAACATCAGTCACCAAGAAAATAGAAGAAGGAAACACTATTGGCGCAATACGAGTCATCACCAGTGAGGACTCAATTGCCGACAGAGATGCCGCAACAGCTCAAGCCCTAAGGGAGAAACACCCACCCAGGGCTCCGCGTGAGGACGACATTGTACAAGTGGGGGCTACCGGAGCAGAACCTCTCTGGGTGGCTGAATCTGTGGTCCATAAAGCAGCCATGTCCTTCCCTACAGGATCAGCAGGTGGGTTCACAGGACTAAAACCCAACCACCTCAAGCAAATGCTCAACCCTGAACTGGGTGACATTGCAAAGAACCTCTTGGTGGAACTAACCAGATTCACCAACACATGTCTAGCTGGCAACATACCAGCGTCCATAAGACCTATCTTTTTTGGAGCATCTCTCTGTGCTCTAAAGAAAAAGGATGGAGGGATCAGGCCAATAGCTGTGGGCAATTCTCTCCGGCGTCTCGTCACAAAGGCAGCTGCAAGAACAGTTAGTGATGCAGCGGCCAACATGCTGAAGCCAAAACAGCTCGGGTTTGGCATTCCACAAGGGTGTGAGGCGGCAGCCCATGCAGCTTAAGCCTTCATCGCCAACATCACAGACGAAAAGGCCCTTATCAAGCTAGATTTCAAAAATGCCTTCAATTTGGTGCGGAGGGATGCTGTACTCCGTGCGGTTCATAGTCATTTCCCTTCCCTCTACCCTTTTGTACATTCATGCTACAGTATGGATCTTAAGCTACTTTTTGGCGAACATGAAATTGACTCGCGAGAAGGCGTCCAACAGGGTGACCCCCTTGCTCCTCTCCTTTTCTGCTTAGTCATCAAACAAGTCACAGAGGTCCTGTCCAGCGAGCTTAACATCTGGTTCTTGGATGATGGTACCCTAGCTGGTTCCCAAGACTCCCTCCTGGAGGACATCAGAAAAATCCAGGAGCAAGGTGCAGTTTTAGACCTCACCCTGAACCCTTCTAAATGTGAAATAATATGTTCCAACCAGGGCATCGTAGAGAGAATAGAGGGTCTTCTGCCAAATATCCATAAAACTAAACCTGAAGACAGCACACTCCTAGGAGCTCCCCTGGGGTTGAAAGCCATCGATGAGGTCCTTGATAAGAAAATCGCCGACCTTAAGAGGATGGATGGGAGGATTGAGGATATTGATGCTCATGATGCACTCTACCTCATCACCAGATGTTTGTCCCTCCCCAGGTTAACCTACTTTCTGAGGTGTTCACCATCTTACAGTAGCCAAAAACTAAGTGAGTATGACCGGTTACTGAAATCAATGCTAGAAAAAGCCCTTAACCTCTCTCTCGATGACCTACAGTGGAAACAAGCCTCTCTTCCCGTAAGACTTGGGGGCCTCGGAGTTCGAACAGCAACGCAAATCGCTGTTCCAGCCTTCCTGTCCTCCTTATCAGCATCCGACGACCTTGTGAAGGAAATTCTACCTGCCCACTTACATCAGCTGGCAGGTGTACATGATCCCAATTTTACACTCTGTGCCACAGAGTGGGCCTCTCGTGCAGGCCAATCACCTCAACCACCATCCCCAAAAGCCCACAAGCAAACCAGCTGGGATGGTCCCATTGTAGACCAAGTTGCTGCAGAGTGCCTGGGTGCTGCAACAACACAACACGACATTGCTCGCCTCACAGCAGTAGCAGCACCACATGCAGGGGATTTCCTGTTAGCAACCCCAATGTCGGCAACTGGCACGCGTCTCACACCACACGCCCTCCGAATTGCTGTGGCCCTCCGCCTTGCTGCCCCAATCCACACCAGATATAGGTGTATTTGCGGCGAGGTGGTGGCTGACAGGTACGGCCACCATGGCCTACTCTGCCAAAGCACAGGGGGATGGCACTCGAGGCACAGTGAAGTTAACGACATCATCAAGAGGAGCCTCACCACAGCTGGATGCCCAGATGAAAGAGAGCCCCGTTACCTAACGCCCCGTAACTCTGATGCTCTTATTGGTCGCCCGGATGGTATCACAGTGAACCCCTGGAAGAATGGCAAGCAGTTGGTATGGGACTACACGTGCGTATCAACCCTGGCTAACACCTACATTATCCTCAGTGTTGCACAACCAGGTGGCGCTGCCACCAACAGGGAAGCAGCCAAATCCCGTAAGTATAGAGAACTGGATCACCAATACAATTTTGTCCCCATTGCTTCTGAGACACTCGGCGCCTGGGGTAAAAGTGCTACCAGTTTTTTGATGGAACTGGGTTCTAGGCTCATTGAAACAACAAGGGACCCGAGAGCTGCAAGCTTTCTTTTCCAGCGCCTCAGTGTGGCGATACAGAGGGGAAATGCGCACTGCATCCAGGGTTCCTGCCCGCCATCTGAGGAGCTGGAGGAACTCGACAACCTATGATAACCATCTTTGTAACCCATATGTAACTCCTTTTTTGTAACAAAGTTCAAATAAAGTAAATATATATGTGTACATACAAAAGAATGGGGGTGGTAGGAGAAGATAATATTAGTGTTCAGTGAGAAACCACAAGGTCTCCTCTGAATACTTTTAATTTTCTTCTCCGAGGCTATGGGTCCCCACATTGGCACCAGAGGTGGTACCCTCACAAACTTTATATATATATATATATATATATATATATATATATATATATATATATATATATATATATATATATATATATATATATATATACATAAATGTAAGTATGTGCTTTTAAATTAATATGAACGATTTCAAATTTAAGGTTTTTAATTTTAATGTGATATATATGATGGTAAATGGAAGTTTAAGCTATTTTGAGTAGTAAGATTTTGGAGTAACTGAAAAAACATCACAGGATCCACTGGCAGAAGGCAACTGGATAACGGATAAATTTGAGGGGAAGAAGGGCCCCCCAAAGACAATGTGATTCCTTATAGTTATCCGCCTGTCTTCAACTGAATATACCTGGGCAGGAGAGGCTACCAAAGTTGTCCTAGAAGCCATTGTCACTAGTAACAAGTAACTAACAACAGTCCAGGAGTCAAAATCTTCACACACACAGTCAGGTTAAGTTATAGTAACAAAATAAGAAGCCAATGTGGACACAAGAGATGGAACTCAACACTGCATCAGCTTAAGACCAGTAACACGACTGTTGACCTCAATGCTGCAAGTAGCTTATAACCTGAAAGAGTTTTCTCACATGATGCGGATGCTGCATGGAGGGTGAGGAGGGATGGAGAGGCTGGTGAGGGATGCATACTGTCATTAGTGCGCCTACTGACGCTTGGAGAAACATGAGCAGCAGAAACGTTAAACAACGTGAAAATTATTTCATCTTGAAATATACTTATCCAGTTAAAAATACAACTTTCAAGAACGATCGCTGAATCGTTCTTTCTTGACATTATTGAAACAAGGAAATATGAAATTGGCATTCAAACACTGAAAGTTGTCTATATGAAGAAAACCTTATGTTGCAAATTTCAACCCGTGACTTGTAAATTGGAAGTTTCAACCAATGAGTTGCAAACTTGAAGTATCAACCCAGAAGTTGGAAATCAGAAGTTTCAAGCGAGAAGTTATAACTCAAATACGTGACCAGCTGCACGTCCTTAAACGTGACCAGCTGCACGTCTTAACACGTGACCAGCTGCACGTCATAATACGTGACTAGCTGCACGTCTTAACACGTGACCAGCTGCACGTCTTAACACGTGACCAGCTGCACGTCATAATACGTGACTAGCTGCACGTCTTAACACGTGACCAGCTGCACGTCTTAACACGTGACCAGCTGCACGTCTTAACACGTGACCAGCTGCACGTCTTAACACGTGGCCAGCTGCAGGTCATAAATCTCCCTGCAGCTGCATGGCTTAATTTACAATGCATTTAATGGCATTTAATTTACAATGTGTTTATCACTGGGCACAGAGAGCAAAGACTTCAATTTTCATTGTTTATGAAATAATTCCGCTGGTGAATATGGCTTGTTTCTCCAAGGGTCCTACATTAAATTTAACATTCCACTTTGGTTTTTCTATAATAACTTATAGTCCGTTTTATATTAACTGATACAGAGAGTAACATTATATTGCAAACAGAAGCAAAATTGATTTTGAAAGTCAATATTGCTTAGCAAGTAATAATAATTATTTTCATGATTAACACATATAGGAAGCAGACATCGCCATTGGTCCCTTCGGTCTCTCGCTCACCCGCGCTGAGGCGGTAGACTTCTCCTGGCCGCTATGGTACGAAAGCTCGCGGATACTAGCTGGTCGTGGGCGTCCAGAGATCGACCCGTGGGGCTTCGTGCAGCCCCTTGCGCCTCTGGTGTGGGTTGGCATCCTTGCGGCGATGCTGGCCGTGCCTCTGGTGGAGTTCCTGTTCTCATGGTTGCTCTCTGTCCGGAACTCTGCTTGGAGCAACTGGTTGCTCAACACATTGGATTTTGCCTTTGTACTATTGCAACAAGGTAAGTGAGCTACGCTGACTAGCAAATACAGCTGCTGTTGCTTTATTAGGCTCTCTCCTTAATATGCCACCAAATATATTTTTCAATGGTAAAATTTAATTCACTCACCGTCTCTAACGAGTCTTTAATACCCCCTTCCTTTTACATTATCATAGCGTTTGATCGTGCATTCCCCTTCCCCCTCTACATTAAATCGTTCCTGCCCTTTCCCTTCGGATATCTACCTCCCATATTAACTATCTGGACCCCCCCCCCATCTTATCTATCCCCTCAAATCTTCATCATCTGGACCTCCTCCCATCCTCTACCCCATTCCCATATTAAGACAATATATGTTAGGACATTAAAAGATGTTCAATTTTAATTGAACTTTATTGACTATTTGTATATATATGAAAAGGGATCCAACTGGTCCAAGTTTCAGCATCGCAGCCTAAATAAAAAGGAAGTGTTTTATCAAAGAATTTTCACCATTTTCAAATATTTAGTAAAAACACAAGTGTCAACTAAAATCCTTTCTATGACACTCAGCTATCACAAATAGCATCTAATAAAGGAGTTTATCTCAGGAGTTTACCTTATCTTTATCTTATCTATATCGAAAATATGTTTAGTTTTACTAATACAAATTTTTTAAGTCACCCCCAAAATTGTACGACAAAATGATGTAAAAAAGCATTAATAAAATAAATAAAATAGAATTATGAAACAAATAATGAGAGATGTACATATTAGGTGTAAGTTTCTTATAAATGTATTCATAATTGAAAGAGGACTTAGAATTTTAGTTTTAAGGTTTTAACTTGAACCAAAATAATGTCAAAGATTCTGCCACCTGTGGCTGAGGTTGACGTCGAGCGAGTGCCTTCACAATTGGCACCCTTACAGATAGGCATGCGTTCAGTAAGGTGTATAGGTTTCATGCAAAAACACTGAATAAAAAACTGGGAAAAAACTAATTATATTTGGATAAAACTAAGAGGTTTTATTCTCTATTATATGCCATTGTGATAGCTGAGTATCATAGACATGATTACAGTTGTCACTTGTGTTTGATGTTAATTTTTGAACATCTTTGACAAATGAGTAAATATTTTCTCTCCCTTTCTATTACCGTCAAAGTGTCGTCTGGGAGGAGGTTCAAATACCCTCGGCTATCACCTCTTTTTGTATGGTCACTGATGGTCGAGTGGTTAAGACTTCCTGTACACCACTTGCATAGTGCTCCTGACAGTATGGGTTCAAGTCACTTCTGGGCTGTGGTGTTTTTAGTTATTTATATATATATATATATATATATATATATATATATATATATATATATATATATATATATATATATATGTCGTACCTAGTAGCCAGAACGCACTTCTCAGCCTACTTTGCAAGGCCCAATTTGCCTAATAAGCCAAGTTTTCATGAATTATGTTTTTTCGACGACCTAACCTACCTAACCTAACCTAACCTACCTACCTAACCTGACCTAACCTATAAAGATAGGATAGGTTAGGTTAGGTAGGGTTGGTTAGGTTCGGTCATATATCTACGTTAATTTTAACTACAATAAAACAAAATTGACCTCATACATAATGAAATGGGTAGCTTTATCATTTCATAAGAAAAAAATTAGAGAAAATATATTAATTCAGGAAAACTTAGCTTATTAGGCAAATCGGGCCTTGCATAGTAGGCCGAAAAGTGCATTCTGGCTACTAGGTACGACATATATATATATATATATATATATATATATATATATATATATGTTTCATTGAATATGACCGCATATTCTGTATTTATTATTTTCTGGTTTAGGGCTTCTATCCCTCTAACTATTTTCTTAGCAACAGGGCTCAATTGGAATAGGAGTTCTCCAAAACTCATTTTCGTACTTTTAAGGTGAAGAAAAGAAGTGATTTACTATAGAGTGTATTACACTTATTTGTATAATTTGCACGACGTTTCGAACCTCCATGGTTCATTCTCAAGTGAACAATCTTACAATACTAGTTGATTTTATACCCGCATTAGGTCAGGTGATAATACAATGAAGGTGAAAAACATGGGGGGATACATAAGGGATAAACATAGGGGCTGCAGAAGGCTTATTGGCCCATACGAGGCATCTCCTATCTAAACACAAAGATTAATCCAGTGTAATTGGCCTGTTATGTTAGACATTGTCTTCTGTGTTGGCATCGATATGTTCTTGTCTTGTCCTTACTCTCATGGTGGGTAGAGTAAATAGTTCTATTTACTCTACCCACCATGAGTTCAATTATACTATGAAGTTCAATTTACTATGAACTATTTACTCTACCCACCATGAGAGTAAGGACAAGACAAGAACATATCGATGCCAACACAGAAGACAATGTCTAACATAACAGGCCAATTACACTGGATTAATCTTTGTGTTTAGATAGGAGATGCCTCGTATGGGCCAATAAGCCTTCTGCAGCCCCTATGTTTATCCCTTATGTATCCCCCCATGTTTTTCACCTTCATTGTATTATCACCTGACCTAATGCGGGTATAAAATCAACTAGTATTGTAAGATTGTTCACTTGAGAATGAACCATGGAGGTTCGAAACGTCGTGCAAATTATACAAATAAGTGTAATACACTCTATAGTAAATCACTTCTTTTCTTCACCTTAAAAGTACGAAAATGAGTTTTGGAGAACTCCTATTCCAATTAAGCCCTGATGCTAAGAAAATAGTTAGAGGGATAGAAGCCCTAAACCAGAAAATAATAAATACAGAATATGCGGTCATATTCAATGAAACATGTTTGAAAGAAAACCTGCTGCCAGTATACACCAATATATATATATATATATATATATATTGGATTTTATATATATATATATATATATATATATATATATATTGGATTTTATATATATATATATATATATATATATATATATATATATATATTATATATATATATATATATATATATATATATATATATATATATAAAATCCAATATATATATATATATATATATATATTGGTGTATACTGGCAGCAGGTTTTCTTTCAAACATGTTTCATTGAATATGACCGCATATTCTGTATTTATTATTTTCTGGTTTAGGGCTTCTTTTCTTCACCTTAAAAGTACGAAAATGAGTTTTGGAGAACTCCTATTCCAATTAAGCCCTGATGCTAAGAAAATAGTTAGAGGGATAGAAGCCCTAAACCAGAAAATAATAAATACAGAATATGCGGTCATATTCAATGAAACATGTTTGAAAGAAAACCTGCTGCCAGTATACACCAATATATATATATATATATATATATTGGATTTTATATATATATATATATATATATATATATATATATATATATATATATATATATATTTTATATATATATATATATATATATATATATATATATTTTATATATATATATATATATATATATATATATATATATATATATATATATATATATATATATATATATATATATATATATATATTATTAAATATACCGAAAAAGTAAGATTAATAATTCTAACACGAATTTTCTCAATCTTTCGTACATTTCGCTTCACTGTTGGAGGTAAATAAAAAATCAATTCTCCAAAATTCATTTTTATTTCTAGTCTGACGCGACACGAGCGCGTTTCGTAAAACTTATTACATTTTCAAAGACTTTAGTTCACAAATACACAACTGAATAGAACTTACGCATCTCCGATATTATATCTACATTTGAGTGAGGTGGAAGGGGTGATGTGGCATTAACACACAGAACAAGATGTGGTATTAATAGGGTATTAATTTCATCAACACAAGACAGAACAAGAGTATTAATAGGGTATTAATTTCATCAACACAAGACAGAACACGAAACAATGGATATTGAATAGAAGTGTTTGTAGAAAGCCTATTGGTCCATATTTCTTGATGCTTCTATATTGGAGCGGAGTCTTGAGGTGGGTAGAATATAGTTGTGCAATAATTGGCTGTTGATTGCTGGTGTTGACTTCTTGATGTGTAGTGCCTCGCAAACGTCAAGCCGCCTGCTATCTCTGTATCTATCGATGATTTCTGTGTTGTTTACTAGGATTTCTCTGGCGATGGTTTGGTTGTGGGAAGAGATTATATGTTCCTTAATGGAGCCCTGTTGCTTATGCATCGTTAAACGCCTAGAAAGAGATGTTGTTGTCTTGCCTATATACTGGGTTTTTTGGAGCTTACAGTCCCCAAGAGGGCATTTGAAGGCATAGACGACGTTAGTCTCTTTTAAAGCGTTCTGTTTTGTGTCTGGAGAGTTTCTCATGAGTAGGCTGGCCGTTTTTCTGGTTTTATAGTAAATCGTCAGTTGTATCCTCTGATTTTTGTCTGTAGGGATAACGTTTCTATTAACAATATCTTTCAGGACCCTTTCCTCCGTTTTATGAGCTGTGGAAAAGAAGTTCCTGTAAAATAGTCTAATAGGGGGTATAGGTGTTGTGTTAGTTGTCTCTTCAGAGGTTGCATGGCTTTTCACTTTCCTTCTTATGATGTCTTCGACGAAACCATTGGAGAAGCCGTTATTGACTAGGACCTGCCTTACCCTACAGAGTTCTTCGTCGACTTGCTTCCATTCTGAGCTGTGGCTGAGAGCACGGTCGACATATGCGTTAACAACACTCCTCTTGTACCTGTCTGGGCAGTCGCTGTTGGCATTTAGGCACATTCCTATGTTTGTTTCCTTAGTGTAGACTGCAGTGTGGAAACCTCCGCCCTTTTCCATGACTGTTACATCTAGAAAGGGCAGCTTCCCATCCTTTTCCATCTCGTAAGTGAAACGCAGCACGGAACTCTGCTCAAATGCCTCCTTCAGCTCCTGCAGATGTCTGACATCAGGTACTTGTGTAAAAATGTCGTCAACATACCTGCAGTATATGGCCGGTTTCAAGTTCATGTCGACTAAGACTTTTTGCTCGATGGTACCCATGTAGAAGTTTGCAAACATTACACCTAGGGGAGAACC